TGACTTTGTAGGCAAAAGACAGAAAACAATGGGAAGCTGCGGAAAACATCTGGACCGAGTTGGAAGACGTTCTTTGCCATCGGCAAGGCCCCCGTCCCGTTCCGCAAAAAATCACATCGTTTGGGAGAGCTTTTTGGACTTGGAGAATCTTTACCAGGTAGGAAAACTACACACCATTTTTTTAAATCACTCTTAACATCACAAGCACATACGTACTTCCAAGTTTCTCATAAGCTGGAGCAAATATGGGAATTTATGGCTTACTAAGTGTGGCTGGACTACGACTCTCAGCTTCCCTGTCAATGGCTATCGGTATTGTTTTTTTTTAAACCTATGGGTTTTACATGTCGTGTCAATTTGCTCATTGTGACAGAATTTTGATATGAGCAGAATGCGTTGGAACCAGATAAGGCAGTATATCCCGTTATCTTTTTCCGTATATTAAATGGGCAAAACTTGAGTTCCATAGATTCAAGGCCAAGGAGAGATTGCTAATGTGGGGCCTGTTTAAGAGGGCTGACGCTCAGGGGTGGCCTTCAAAAATTTCAGCAACGGGTTCTCTGCTCGGTTGCTGGGTGGGCGTGGCCATGGTGGGCATGGCCTAGTCCGCCCCCTGCACCACACAGAGGGGAGAGGGCTATCTTCGCCTTCCTTAGGCTCTGGAGGTTTTCTTTGAGCCTCTGAAAGGGCGAAAACTGCCTCACCTGGGCTCCAGAGGCCTTCCGGAGGCCTGTTTTTCCCCCTCCTCGAGGCTCCGCATAGACCCTGCATTTACCTCGCATCCAAAATGGGCTGCGTGGAGACTCCTGGGAGGTGTGTGGTGGGGTGGCAGTGGACGGGTAGGGTGGGCGAGGCCAGCCAGGGGTGGGATTTGGAGGTTCTCCAAACCGGCTATAATGTTAGCTATGGGTTCTCCTGAACCTGGGCAAAGCCGTAGCAGTCCACCCCCTGATAATGCTCATCTGTTCCTTGGTCCTCTTTCTCTGCAGGGACCCGTGGTGAGACGGTCACCTTGAGATCCGCCAAAAGTGAAGAATCTCTAACCTCTCAGGCTAGTCTAACAGGTAATAATGGCCCCTCTGTCTGCTGAAACCCCCGTGATTTTGCTCCATCAAAATGGACTGCATGAACTGAAGGTGACCCTCCCAAAACATTTCTTCAAAGTGCTTTTTCCCCAAGTGTAGCAACTTCTAGACAAGCAGGGCTTCGATTCCCACCATTTCATAGCCAGCAAGGTCATTGCTGACAGTTCCAGGAGTTGATGTCCAGCTAGCTGGAACTTGCCAAGGCTTTAGCACAACTGCAGCTTTTCTGAATCAGGAGCTGGTTTCATCCCTCAAGCAAATGTGACTATCGATCTGTAGGACATTTTCTTACTGCTCTCAATTACCTGGGTTTGGCATGAAAGCAGATGTGTAAAGAAGCGCCAGATGTTAGGAGCGTTTGGTCTGTTGAGTGTCCCAGAGGGACCTTCACCTGCTGTCCAAACCAGGGGCTGATTATCTTCTGATTTGATTGGCAGCTGCTCTCCAGGTTTTGGCAAAGGCTTTTTCATCACATGTTACCTGATCATGTTAGGCATTAACCTTAAGGCCCTCTGAATGTGAAGGATGTTCTTCATTGAGTTATAACTCCTGCAGTGGGAATGCAGATACCACCATCTTTTACTGAAGCTCCTGTAGGATAGGATAGGATAGGATAATAGAGTAGAGTAGAGTAGAGTAGAGTAGAGTAGAGTAGAGTAGAGTAGAGTAGAGTAGAAAATAGAAGAGAAGAGAAAATAGAATAGAATAGAATAGAATAGAATAGAATAGAGCT